GCAATAAGAAATGATTTTTTAATATTCCTTCATGAAATAAAGTTACGTTTTCATCACAGTTTCTCCACACCCTCTGGTGGATTAATTTATAATTGAGTATAAGCATTGCACCCGTGCGGAGTTGAGGCGGATCGCTAGTCAGTTATTATCAGCCATTTGGATTTACTCATTTATTTCAAATGTTTGGCAAAGGACCAAATATGTAAGGATGTACATTCGCTTGACACAAAGTTTTGAATTGTTTCATCGTTATATGATTCCTTTGAAGTATTCTCGCATTTCTAATATTGAATGATCTAAAAACTGGGTTAAAATTCAAGAAACATTGCTGTAAAAACATCCAGCTATTCGGTTTCAGGCGAGCGGCGCTAAAATTAGCCTGTGACTCAACCGAATCAGACATCTGACACCTCGAAAAGCAACGCAATACGTATTCCGTTCTGCCATTCTAGTTCTCGTAATGCCTTTAACGATAGGCGAAAACCACAATGCCCACTCGTTGGACAGATACTAGAGCTGGCTTGATTCATATTGACATGATAGAGATTGGATTACCGACTATTGAGAGTTACAATCGAAAGAAAAATACTTTTGCGGCATTGCTTCACCATTAGCCAATAAAAAACAGGAAATTTGAAATATTCTCATCCACTCAATAGTTTCAAACACTATTGAATATTCCACCAACGAAAAGCATTTAGAACCGTGTTACAACAATAGTTACGAGGTGGATATTATTGACAACATTCTTTCTGAAATCCGACGGAAACAAGATTTGATCCAGGTCTATCCAATTTCAAAAAACAGTAAGCGTGTGTTAAATAAGAAAGAGTTGGAGTAATTTTATTACAAACAATAAAGACGAAACCAGTGTAGGATATATCGCGAGTATATCAGTTGTTCTTGTCCCAAACTTTACATTGGCCAAACTGGGAGACCTTTTTTCAGAAGAACAAAATAACATATGTTTTGTTTTTTGTAATGCAAGACTGAGTTGCATTTGCAAATCATCTTTTGGCAGAAGGTCATGAGTTCTGTCATGATTACGAAGTATCATACGATTGATTTCAATTGAATTAGGGTAGATTTTGAAGGTAATATGAGGTCAATGTAATTTTTGTTCTCACTTTATGTCCGATTTGATGAGTTTGTTTTTCAGTTAGGTAGTAGTAACAGTTATTATTCAAATATTTAGAAAATATAAAAAAACGATGTAGAAATTGAGTTGGTTGGTATACACTAAATATCCTGAAGAAGTTATTCTATGGTAAAATAGGTGTAGCGACTAGAGAAATTTTCACAATGTAGAGTTGGTTCAATACGGCCAGTTCCATCACGTCGAGAGCCTGCAACTAGGAGAACGTTCCATTTTTAAAATACTTCCGGTCTTGCGCTTGGGAAAAGTCGAGAGTGTTTTAAATGATATCACATGATATCCAAATGGGACTATCATTGAAAACCATGTTAGAATTCCATAAATCGCCGATCTCAAATTATCTCTGAGAGAAATCAATGAAGAATAAGTCATCATTCATAAACTACCTGTAAAAGTCAAAACTCCTCCAGCTCTTGTTTCATTTTATGATTCTGAATACTGAAAAACAAAAAGATATTTCAACTGTGAGATAATGTTCTCGATCATCACTGTACTATCTCGTCTGTAGTCGGATTAATACGAAACAATGAAATGAAAGAAAAACATCCCCTTCACATCGAACTCATCACACCGGGGTATCGAATAATAATTGTACGGCTTCCGCGCCGTAATTTGATCGACCGACGACGGGTTGGTACGCCTGCATGCATCTCACTTTTGATTAACTCAATTTATATCGATTCCACCATGGGAAAATACCTGGTTCACCGTGCGCATTCACTGTACCCGAACAAGAGGATTCTGAATAACCAGAATGCTAGCGTCATAATTTCAGTGAACAAGGTTGTTTCACAATGTTTTTTAGTTTTCCTCCTTATGTTCTATGAATTAATCACTGAATGACTAGGAACGATATGTCTAACTTGAAAGTAACGAAAGGAATATGGGTCCTGAAGACCATAATAATGATGATACTGAATCCGCTGTGATCGTTCGTCACCCTCAGGCTACATGCTTAGGCATCTCTGTATCTGTAGACTACGGAGGGTGAGTGTAGCACTTAGGCCACATGTGACCCATTGTACATCCTCTCAAGGAGTTGTCCTCCTAGGTCATCGTCCATCTTGTCCTTTCCAGGAAGGCGGACAGGTATCTGGGAGACATCTCCTTTATATCGGCAGGTGTGGGCCAAGGCTCGCCGAACATACACTCTTTTATTGACGATAACTCCGGATATTCGCATAGGAAATGCCTGACAGTTTCATCTTCCTGTTCACACATCCTGCATAGAGGTGTGTCTACTAGCTCCATTTTGTGGAGGTGTTTCCTTAGTTGACAGTGGCCAGTCAGAAATCCTACTGTTAAGCGTAGATTTTTCCTGGTCATCCCAAGATTTTCTCCGGCGCCAGCTTCCCAGGGTCGCCAAGGGTGATCCTGTCGAAATTGCATCCTTAGATTTCATCCCATCTCTTTAGGGATTGAGCATGGGTGTGACGTTTGGCTAGTTTCGCAATTGTCGAAGTCATCATGTCGTAGATGCAACTGGGTCCTAAAATTCTTAGTCCACGTTCTTAGGCATACACGCTAATGAACCTGAAGTAGTTCTTTTCAATCATCACAGATATACACTATTTGCCTTGGATTTTCCAGCTCCGGGTGAGGCGAATATCGCCCGAAAAGAGGAGGAAAACTAAAGAAATATCAAGAATTTTTCTTCAAAATCCGCAAACTCTGTTCAGGTCATTCTGCTTATTGAAGTCCTTCGCTGAATGACCTTCTCTCTACTCTCGAATCTAGGAAGAATGCATTCTTGGCTCACTGCGCTAAGGGCACATGGTTCTCTGACCCAATGATCACTTACCCCACGGTGTGAGGAGTGGTCATTGGTTGATTATGGTGGTGGGCCCTTCGGGGACGTCGCCCGTCCTTCAGGAAAAAAATTATAATGTCATTCGTGGATAGTGGAGTTACAAATGGTCACTGCTAGAATACACATAGTCAGTAAAATGTAGAGCTGTATGAAGAAAGTTACTTTTTTCAAACACGATAAAACCCGTTTATATAGATCTACCTCTCTCAGAATTTTTACATCTCTCTCATAATTCGAAAAATTTTAATATAATCTGGACCGGCATGACATGAATTAGTAATTGTTGTACTATCAGTCGTCATTGAACAATTTTCTACATTTATATCTGGTACTTTTTCCTTCTGTCAGTATTTACTAATCGTGTGAATATTGAAGACTACCTCCTATTCCTTTGAAAGCTAGTTTGGTGACTAAATTATCAGTCACTGTCCATTAGGACAATAATGTCCATTAGTTAACAATGGACTGTCCTAATGGACAGCCCATTATTGACTACCCATTACAGCAGAAGTTTTCTAATGTGCACTGACTAAATTAATAGGATCCAAGCACCCATGAATACGTTTCAATGAAAAATCGAAACGTCGTGCTGAATGAAAATACATTTATTCACCATTGACCAATACATACTTGAAAGCACATCGAATGTGGAAAGACAATTAACAAAATTGACATCTTTCAGATATTTTCAAAACTCGTTCGACACATGTCGAGGTAGTTTGAAAATAAATCCAAGAAGAAAAACTGCAAGCTATAACTGACTTTTTCACTTCTATGGACGACGGCACATTTCACCCTCCGAAACGCGAATGAATTGAGCTTTTTCTTTGGTAGTCAAAATGATGAAATACTAATAAATAAATTTAAGCACAATTTTTCGCAGTGACCTAGAAGTTTGCCCTTTCAAAAATGAACTAACAATTTGCCCCTTTCAGATTGTGGAAGTTGTGAATTATCAGAAAGAAATAACAAAAAATATCTGTGGTTGAGGCTTTCGCGACCAAGGATTTCAGTGTCACTATTTGGAGGCCGCCGCGCCGGTTTTTGGAATTTTTTCCTGACGTTTCGCTGTTGCGAATGGCTAGCTTCTTCAGAGGTTTATACATCCTGAGTTTATCTCATCCATGACTGCATATTACGGCTGCGTGAAGCGTATTTATGTTGACTCAGGTAGTTTGGTATGCCAATACCTGTATCTGGATTAGGTAAATTGTCAATTACATTCGTCGATTCTTCTCTGCCTGACGTTATGCTGTTTGCTATTCTTGAACTTCTTAGAAATTCGGTTGAGGTTCATAGCTTCCTCTTCTCTGTCGAAACGATCCGTGTATCTGTAGGCTATGGTATCCTTGGTCGGGGACAATGTGTTTTCAAACAAATTCTGTGGTTTCCTTCACTGAGTACGTGGTCTACTACAGCCGACTTGTCCGTTTTGCCTAATCTGCAGTTTCTTTCATGCCCCTTCAGCCATGTTCTAATCGATTTTTGGTGGTTGTGGGTCCCTTTCGTCTTTAGCCGACCTGAGGCTATCTTCTTCTTGGTTTGAAAACCGTTTTGATGTTGTGTTTCCCCAAGAGTTTCCCAATTCTGTTTGTGACCCTAGGTATACCTAGGTAGATACGCAAGTGCAACCATTTGAGCTTCTTTCCCGTTTTGGACCGAGGAACTCTTCAGTTCATGGCTTTGTTGATCTCTGGTACACTGTATCCATCGATCTCATCGATCCATCGATCTTTCAGTTCTTCCTCTAGGTGCTCTGGACCAGAGCAAAAATCTTTGATTTCTTCACGAAAAAGGCATTTACTCATTTCAAATTTTGATACAAATCTCTATAACCGATTGAATTCTTTACACAACAGCAAATCCACGAAACATCATTTATGACAAACTAATGTTGTTAACGTTCATCAGTTCGATAGAAAACACGCTGTAAGGACACTAATACATCAGTTAATTCCTGTGTTTTGATTATTACTACATTTAGAAGTCGTTTTCAAAATGGCTGATTCGTTTCAATGATAGTCAATGAAATACCTGTCTTTGTGCTCTGCAGCCCTGTCCCTCTGCCTTCTGTTCTTGAACCAGTTGGAAACCTGCGTAGTCGTCAACCCCGTCGCTTCGGCCAATTCTCGTTTCTCCCTCGGGCTGGGATAGGGGTTGTGGGAATACCAGTCTCTTAAAACACTCCTAGATTTTTCTTTGAAACAATAACTAGTCTCTTCTCCGTCCCATATGGTCCTTGGAAGGGGGAATTTCCGCCTCACGCGGTATTTTCCTACTGCTCCTAACGGCCTACCTGTCGACAGATAAAAAAAATCTCTATTGGTATTGGAGTTATATCATATTTGTTTCAGTATACCCCAAGGATCAAATACTGTGCCACTGATTTTTCAATACTTGAGAATTGTCACCTACCTCTCAATCTCTCTGCTTCTATATAATGTGCCTTGAGCCACAGGGCCTGCAATTTGGCGTGGTTGTGGGGACTAAACGTGTGACTTTCCAGTATCCTATATAATTCTTTGAAATTTCCCCTATGGAACGCTACTATCGCTTTTGCTTTGAGAACAGATTCGTTGTTATGCAGTTTATCACATGCTGGTAACGACCATAAAAATCTACCTAATCTTTCTACGTTGCCCGCTTGTTGGAGTACCTAAAATCATAATAAAAAAACATATCAAGATACTAGGAAGAGACAAAGACTTTTTTTTGCATTACATTAAATCCAGCAATGAGAAAGAGAGCAATGACAGGGAGTTCCTTTATCTAAATATAGTTTTCAATGTATCAATTCAGAAATGAGTGATTGATAAGTAAATAATTAATAATGATTTGATAACTTTATAATGGATAAAATATACTGTTTTCACGATTACTGTCATTTCTTCAGTGTCAGTTTCAAATATTTACTTGTAAAAAAGATTGAAAAGTCCACAGAAAATAAAAGGTTCATGTTGATTTTAAAATGGCAAGTTTTAGGAATCACAGGTTGAAAAATAAGACCTTGTTAGTCTTCAGCTCGTACAAGTGTCGACTTTATACATATTCCAACAGATTTTTTTACAGATGAAAGCATTTTGAACAGAAAGACCATTAAGTATAAGTTGTACCCTTTCTTTGGAGGATCAACAAAGATATTATGACAGGAAGTACCCGCATTGGAAAATACAATAGATAAGACAGAAAAAATTCAGTAGAATGAAATGTGACAATGGAATCATGAAAATAATGTTTTCAAGAACTTAAGGAGTCAGCCCGAGAGGAAGACAGTGATGAAGAACAACAGTTGCAAAATATGGATGAATAAAAGGAAAAAGAAACACCAGAAACCGTTAGCAAATTAAAACCAGAACAAACTACAGGTCAGGATGAAATTACCTCGGAGATGATACAATTCGTGGGTGAAAGAGGAAAAGAGGAATTTCTCAAAATACTCAACGATATTCTGAAGATAAGATACGAAAAAATGTATGGAATAGCCTAAAAAGGGAAAGAATTGGGCAAAAAATTATTAAAGTAATCAAATCATTGTTTGAAAACAATAAACTTGTGATGCACTGTTTGGAACTTTTGGTGTAGTGATGAATATTACTGGAGTTTTAGTCTAACCAAACCGTTATTTTAACACCTCGACACGTGTTTCCTCTTGAAGATGATCACCAAGTGATCACCAAGTGATCATCTTCAAGATCACCAAGTGATCACTTCGATACGTGTTTGGATCACCAAGTGATCATCTTCAGAAGATTGAACTGTTGAATCTTCCTCTTGAAGATGATCGCTTGGTGATCGAAACACGTGTCGAGGTGTTAAATCAACGGTTTGGTATTGGGATAAAATTCCAATAATATTCAGAAACAATGAAAATAAAGCAAGAACCGATAACAAAGAACCAACAGAATTTGAGACAAAATTAGTGTGAAACAAGAATGTGTACCTTGTATACTGAGTCTCCATTATTATTCTACATTTTTATAGAAAAAAATGCAAAAGCTTATTGGTCGAAAACAGCATGAGAAAACTAGTCACTATACAAAAACTACTATTCGTAGAAGACATGATAATAACAGCAGACACAGAAGCCACTCTACAACGAAATATAAGAATTAAACATTAAGGGAAACATGGAAATGAAGACAGATTAGACGAATATGAGGGTATCAATGAGAGAAAAGAATCCTAAGATGAAACTAGAACAAGTTGAAAGATATAGATGAAACTAGAACAAGTTGAAAGATATAATCTCCTTGGAATCGTTATAGATGATAATGGAATGATAGATGGAGAAAAAAAAGAGAGACTAGAAAAAACTTGAAGATTATTCAACGTATGAAAACTACCTTTTGAGTAAGGCAGAAAATATCAAAAATTACAAAGTATATGAAAAAGTTGTAGGATTCTAATCTATGGAAGTTATCAGATAAGAATACCAGCAAAAATAGCTACAAAAATGAGCTACAAAAAGAGATAGGATAAGAACTTAAGAAATGAAGCAGTTACAAATAATCTGAGCGTCAAATCACTGATTACGATTATGGAGGAACAGCATTTGGGATAGTTACAAGAAAAGTATATGTGGTCAGAGTACAGTAGAACATGGCTTGATTGAAGCAGCTGGGACTTTGAGATATGACGTTCGTCCTAGTAGTCAACGCAGTAGCAGACGAAACGTTCATTAGTACAAGTTCCATTCGACCACACCCCACCTATTAGCCAAATATGGGCTATTAACCATGGAAGCGTTCAGGAGAATTTTGTTGGGGTGTCGCGGGGTGAACGCAACTCGGAAAAAATAGGTTGTTTATCAAGGACATTATTTTTATATCTGCCTGTAAGGTTTCTAGTGGGCTAATCAAAGAGCAGTTACTTGCAATATATCCTACAATAGTCGAAGTATAGGGCGAGAAAATGTATCGTGGTACTGTTGAAGGGCACTGAAAAAAGTGTTTTGTGGAACAAAGTGTTTTCATACACTTGTCTTCTGATAAAAATCTCTATTGGATTTTTAAATTAAGATATAAATTGCCTCAACAATTAGAAATGGAAAGGTTCTGTTATAGACTCACTAAACACCATTTATTATCGATTAACACATTCCAGAATACCGAACAGATTCATTTATAAACAAATAAATCAGCCCGGCCCCTAAGCGTGTTTTCCAATTATAGATATCACAAAATAAACGATAAGGAATGCAATCTGAAATCGAAACAGTGGACGTAAACAAATAATAGCAATACTCCATGATCCGTGTTTCATAAGCTTTATATAACTTCTAGAGAAAATGGATGAAAGGTATATAATGAGTGTCAAAAAATGTCGTAGGTACCCAAAATTTCGTCAAAATTTCAAGTTCCATGAGTTAGTAAGAATTCGAATGATAATTTTTTATATAGCTCTAAAAAAATCAATTAATTTTTAGCACAATGAACAATATTTTCCAAAATTGCAAAAACTGGCAAAATTTTAATTTTTCAATAACTGCTCACTATTCACTTATGGAGAGTCACCTGTATGGAATTTCTTTCTGGGGCTCAGGCAGAGTATATTCGTTATCCAGAAAAGAGCTTTGAGAATAATATTCAAATTGAAGATACATAACTCGTGTAGGCCACGTTTTTGCAGCAATGAAATATTAAGACAGTCTGCTTACTCCACAAACATAAAGAAAAGTTTAAAAGCCATACAGAAAGGTCTACCCGTAGCAATAAAAAACTTGTCCTTTCACTTTCCACATCATCTTCGACCAGGCAGACTCAAATCTATAGAAGTAGACAAATCAACCAAAACATATTACGTCAATTAATGAACTTAAAAAATTTAGAAAATCATTAAAGAACCTTGTTTTGGGAAAGTGCTTCTACAGTTTGAAAAAGTATTTTGCATACAAATTCCACTCTTTCGGTATACCACGATGTATATTACGATTTAAATCAAGTAATTTTAAAATACTGTTTTTTATTGATAACATATTTGTAAATTTTTTATCTTTGATGTTTTTTTTTTGCTTTTTTTGGTCTGTTATTTTTATTCTCCACTGTATTTTTGTTAATATTATATAGTCTTTAAAAAACAACATTTTATATATTTTTAACATTTTATGTATTTTTAAACATGACACCTTTCATCAACAAAATTTGTAGACAATAAATATGTATCCATCTATCTATGTCACAATTTCTTTATTACTAAAATATGGATAAATGACGAAGAAGAGGACTCTTATGGTGTCTGTAACCCATTTTCATTGAAATAAAAAATATTTATCGTTGAATATTTTTCCCTGAGAATGTGAGAGATTTGCATCACTGACGTCACACCGAAAAACGTGGACATTTGAAAACCAAAAATCATTATATATGAACTATCAACGAATCCTTTTCTTCTACAAGTTAAAACAAAAGACAAAACAGGTAATTCCTACACTAGAATTCACAACGCCGGAAATTACTTTTCGACAGCGTCTAGTCAAATTGATTTAATCTCTAGCCATTTAAATTCAATGTGAATCGCTACACAAGCGCTACAGGATTTTCCTGTAGTGCTTGTGTTTTGTCCAAAACAAATGGTTTTAATCTCCAGCGATTCAAATACAATGTGAATCCCTACTTTCGCATAGGCACCGCTCTGAGAGCGCTTTAGGAATTTTCCTGTAGTGCTTGTGTTTTGTCCTTGAAAAAAGAGAGACAGTAATACAAACGTAACTCGAAGTCCAAATTCTGAAAGTTAATGTTTTTATCTTCGTGAAGCTTCTACGTTTTGATACTAGACAAATAGCTCTTTTCGCTGATAAACTGTGTGCGTTTCTCATTCTATAGTAAAATATAAGTAAATTTTATATCACAATTATATATTTTAACCTCAAATTTGAAATGACTCTATATAATTATTCGCATAAACGAGTATATAAATTGTTTAGTGGGACAAAGTTGGTATATGTAATGTAATATATAATATAAACTCTTCAAAATGAATATAGCGACACATCCTTAAAATCCAATAAGTAGAAAATATGTATTATTTCATGATAAACACTTCTGGTGTGTACTCCATACTAATTCTTATCATGTTCCATTCGGTTGTTGTTTACTTTTTTACTTCTTTTTGTACTTTTAGCTACAAAATCATTAATATGAAAGATTCTGTATTTACTTTCACTTTACTTTAGTTGCTAGAGCAGTGGCATTGATCGAAGTAGGGTATTCAAGGCGTCGTATAGCCCAAATGCTACACGACCATTCTGTGGTTTCCAGAGCTTGGAATCACTACCAAATTTTCGGTATAGTAAAAAGAACCCCTTATCCCAATCGAAAAAGGGCAACAACCCGCAGAGAAGATCGTTTGTTACGACTTTGGGCAGTTAGGGGTCGCAGCGATTCTGCTAGAACACTACAAAGTCGCCAAAGTCGCTACGGGAACGCGACTTTCGAACCAAACGATACGAAACCGATTTCACGAAGTACAACTCCATGCAAGACGACCTGCTAGAATCCCTTGATTAACTCCAGCTCATCGAGGAAATCGTAGAAACTTTTGTCAAGCGCATCGTAATTGGAATTTTGAGCAGTGGGCCAATGTAATGTTTACAGAAGAAAAAAACTCCATATTATTCAACAATGACGGACGTGTTCGGGTATGGAGACGTCCCGGTGA